AACCCATTCAAATGAATCCAAGAATTTTAATTCTTAGCCAGGCCCAGTGGTACATGCCTGTAATCCAAACAGTTTGGGAGGCTGAGTCAGAAGGATCACAAGTTCAAAGCCAATCTCAGCAACTCATGGAGGCCCTAATCAACTTAGCAAGGCCCTGTCTCAAAATGAAAACTAAAAAGGGCTGGGGATGTGGCTCAGTAGTTAACTGTCCCTGGGTTCAATCAATTCAATTAAAAAAAAAAGAAGAAGAATTTTAACTCCTATAAAGCACCTGAGCCCTACTCTAGAGCCAGCCTGTAGTCTGATCAGATGTAGTCTTCACCTTCATGGCCTTCCCAATCTTACGTGGTTCTGATCTGGGACTTCCTGGCCTTCTTTTAGCTGACTGCAACATTCAGAACCCACATCCTCTGAGACCACAAGATGTGAAACCCACCCTCTGACCTGAAACCTTGCACAAGGCTCTCCACACCCATCAGAACCAAGGTGCTTGGCATGCAAAATTAGACAGCCTCTCCTTCTCCACTAAGTGACTCACCAGGATCACTTCCTCCAAGAAGTCACTCTCCCAGGGTTCAGTCTCAGGGACATCCTGAGCCCTCCCTTCCTCCTGCCCAATTCATGCAAATAAGAGGACATCTGCATAAAAACAGGCTTCTCTTCCCACCCCTAGGAATGTGAAATTCCTGGATAAAAATCTCTCACATCTCTGACAACTCCTGCTGGGCTAAGGAAGAAGCACGTGGCATGTTACTGAATATTGACTAATGAACATAATTTTACTTTTTAATGGGAATGTTCAACAAACAGAAGCAAAGCACAGTTATTTTGGCATTAAGAATTTCACTCAGGAGCCAGACTATTTAATTACTAATCCCCACTCTATTACTGCCCACTGTGTTATTCTCTCTGAAACTCAGTTGTCTCATCTGTTAAATGATGGTAATAAGTAATATCTTTTTTTAATAGGATTATTTTGAGAATGAAATGAGATAATCCCTGTAAATTACTTTTAAAAAGGGCATGGTATATGTTTTAGTTAGCTTTTTCACCACTGTAATGAAAGGACTCAATCAGAACCACTGCAGAGAAGGAAAAGTTTACTTGGGGCTCATGGTTTCAGAGGTCTCAATCCACAGACAGCAGGCTCCATTCCTTGGGGCTCAAGGTGAAACTGAACATCAGGGCAGAAGAGTGTGGCAGAGGGAAGCAGCTCACATGGTGATCAGGAAGCAGAGAGGGAGACTCCACTCACCATATACAAAAGTATACCCCATAGCCACACCCCCAATGCCCACCTCTTCCAGCCACACCCCACCTGCCTTCAATTACCACTCAATTCATCCCATCAGGGGATTAATTTACAGATTGGGTTAAGGTGCTCATAACTCCATCATTTCTTCTCTGAACCTTCTTGCATTGTCTTACACATGAGCTTTTGGGGGACAATCACATCCAGACCATAACGTAAATATCAAGTATTCAGTAAATGTTTGTGATTATTCTTACCACTATTAATTTATCATAAAATGTATCATAAAAATATATTTATAAAAGTATAAACCTTTTATAAGGTTTGGATCTATCTCATGTAATAGGGTCCCCAAGTTATGATACTATCGGTTTGGTCTGAATTTAAGTATGTGTCTCTTATTTGAAGGTTCTGAAATTATATTCCAAGATTGAACTCATAAAAATAAATTCTCCTTTCTTATCATAACCTACTTATAAC